TCCCTGGGTCTGGATCCTGGACTATGTGCAAGGACAAATCTGTCTGAACATGGGCATTCACTGTTTCCTATCCTGGCAGAAGAAGTCATGTGACCATCTTCTTCAGGTTCCTGCCACCGGACTCCCTTGCTGTGATGGCCTCTATCACTGAACTGTGATCCAAAAGAGACTTTTCTCTTCTAAGCTGCTTTCGTTATTTTATAACAGTAACAGGGAAAGTAACTAAGACAAGTGGCATGAGGACTTTGTGACCAAAATGTTAATGAGATAGAGCATCTCCTCAGAGCTTTATCTGAGACCTCTTGCTGGAACACATGCCATTCAAACGCAGGAAGGAGGTTGTTAAAGGGAACCAGAGGATGGGCTTCTCCATGGCCCCTACATGTTCCTGTGAAAAGTATAGATAGCAAAGTTATCAAGTTATTAAGATAGTGTGGTTAGTTGGCCTCATATTACAATCCTTACCTGGGGCATTTTTCATTTTTAATTTATGTGGAATAAGTATAAATACATGTGAAAGGGAGTTGAGCAGATGTAATTTGAAATGAAAGTGGTTGCTGGACAGTAGGTTCTCATACATCTGTGTGCCTTTATGGTGCCTCCTGTGACAACAATGTATTATTTGATGATACTTTCAAAAGTTGGGATAAATTGTAGCTCTCATGCCAGTCCTATTTACATTTTATAAAATTTGTAATGTTTAAAGAAGTATACTGTTTTTCATGTCCAGAAAAAAAGATCATCATATTTACATACAATCTAATTCACAATTTAAAACATTTCATTGTTAAACTTCCTCTCTCACCCCTCTTGAATTGATTTGGATTCTGTTTTAAAAAACACTTCCTGTGTTATGTTGTGCTGGGTCTGCCTGGCAGCCTGAGAACCATTGATCAGAATGTGTTTAGATTTGACTGCTTTCCCAATTATGAATTGTAATTACACAGGATGTAAACACAAGTTTAAGTGGTTGTAAAACTGCTCCAATATTTGTTACACTATTAATTTAATAAACTGGATATTTTAGTGGGTCTTCATAATTACATATCGGTGAACAGAAATGTTTTTCACAAACCTTGTCACACTAGATTGGAAGGGACCCCCCACCCCCACCCCAACACCTTTCTAAAGGGAGAGAAAAAGAGATGGAGAGTGATGACACTAATCTCTTTGCCTCTAGGTGTTTATCACACCAAGAAAGCCAAAACAATTACTCAGGGCTTCATGGGGGTAAATAGCAGAGTGCTATTTCCTTGGAGGATGCTTTCTTGCAGTGTTTCTCACAGGCAGAGGGAAGCTGGTTCCTCAACAGGAGCAGTCTTCCTTAGGAGTGCAAATACAAACAAATAAAAATGACATTATATTGCCTGCCTGGGGGCAAAAAAAATCACCTACTCTTAACAGGCCTTCAGATGTGTGCTTCTCTGTCACTTTCTTTTATTCGAGTACGGTGGCTGCCTTGTATAACAGACAGGTAGAGTAACAGACTATGTAAGCTCTACCATAGTACTGTCAGCAAGGTATCAGAGTACAACTTTGGCATGTGATGTCTTTAAGGGACTTGACACATGCTTGCCATACAGGAATTTCCATTTCCATTCACATAGAGGTAAGAAATGTAATAATTATTTTTTACTCTTTCCAGTGAGTTTTTTTTTCCAATGTGGAATTTGTAATTCTAATTAAAAAATAGTTCAAATGACACCTCTGGAAAAAAAATGGGACTATGTTAAGAAAATGGGGTTATTTTTACTTAGGATCCTCTGCAGTTTGCCTCAGCCAGCCAAGCTAAATCTTTAGTGCTAACATAATTGGGTTTTGTAGAATCATAATGACCCATTTTAGCAGGTATCATTTTTGGTTAATAAAAACATCATATAATTTTAAATGTTACTACTCCATTTTAATTCATCAATCAATTAAAGGCAGCTTTTGGGTGACGGGAACAGATTGAAGGGAGTTCAATTCCAGCAGTTACTAAAGGCTCAAGTGCTTTAAAACAGCCTTTAAAATTATTTAAGTCTTCTTGTAGAATTATTTCAGAACTCTCTCCAAAAATGTAGTAAGGGCACTGTTTTTTTTTCTGTAATAGAGCTTAAGTAACTGCATATTAGTCAATATTAACTTGTTTTTCCCAAATGTTATTTTCCCATTTCTAGTTAAATGCAGTGGTGTGGTTTATGCAAGAGCCAAGCCTGTGTCTTCTTTCCTGGTTCTACAGAAGCATAATGAAAATGGTCATCTGTGAGTCACACCACACCAGGTGTTGAGAAGAGCAGAATTTCTCCGTGTTCCCAAGACTGTTTGGGGAAAATTCTAAATATGGAAGTTGGCATGCTTATTTTTCTTTTCCGACATCACCTTGTGTTTGTGTGCAGTTTATGTGAGGAGTTTGTTGGCATCCATTTTAGATAACTGAAGGGGATAAAACAGTGCTTGTAATGTAAGAAAGTAAAACTATAATTTAAATAAAAAACATTCTATATGGAAATTCGTAGAACTTCCAGAACGTTTGTGTCAAATGAGTGTTTGATGTGTCCTAAAAATATCAGTGAGAGGCTGGAGAGCATTGATTACTTTTGCAGAGGACCTGGGTTCAATTCCCAGCATCCTAACTATCTTTAACTCTAGGGGATCTGATTCCCTCTCCTGATCTCTGAGGCACCAGTGTGTATGTGCACAGACACATGCAAGCAAAACATCCATGTATAAGAAACAAATAAACAAATAACATTAATTACAATCAGTGCTGATTTTCTGAGATAAAAAGAATTATTCATAATTAGACTTCTGTCAAAATCCCTGGGGTCTCACTTATTTGTTTTTTATTCTCATATATAATAAAAACTCTAGTTGGGGTTCCTTGGAAAAGCCTTCCTTTTTTAAACCTGGTTGCTCATGTTGTTCCAGTTCACGGGTAAGTGGATATCAAACCCTCCTTATCAATAAAGGCTAGGAGTCAAAGTGGTAAGGAAAGAACTCACTTTCAGATTTCTGAAGCTGAAATTTTAAATCATGCTGAATGTCATATACACACAGACAGTTTCATATGTTATAATAACACCATGTAACCCCACACTCCCTAGTGTCCTGTTCAATCCTATGAGCACTGAAACTGTTAAATAGATATTTTGCCTAGAAATATACTACAGGTGAAGCACAAAAGACCATTTTAACACAACATCACACTTCAGAATATAGGGTTTTTATAGTCCCATATTACTGGATTATTCGTGGATGTGTGTGTGTGTGTGAAGGAAATGAAAGTAAAGACTTGATTTCAGGGTTTCTATCTAAAGACTCTTAAGACTCCGGTGAAGTCACAGGTCCAAGAAGAGGTGAATGAGACACACCAGAAACTACTCAACTGTGGAGTCCATGTGTTCTTCCAACCCTGTGCTCAAGGGTCTACACTACCTTTGTGCTGCCTGCCTCCAGGAGTTCACACCATCCTGCGGGGACATCTAGTTAGACTGGATCATTGCTGGGGCAAACTCAGAGGAGGGTCAAAGTGGCCCTTAGGCTGGGTGATAAGTCAATTCCACTTCATGGTAGGTAAGACAGATGACTTAACTTGCTGTGAACAGCAACGTTTCTGTATAGTTGCCATTTCGCCTCCACCAGCCCTTTTGAGTTTTATACACATCATTAGTGGGAAGAATGATGTTCCTACTTTGTTGACAGTGGACAGATGAACTCATGGAATAACTGGTTACCCCACTCTTAGGAACCTTCCAGGAAACAAAGCAAGAGCTGGATCCTCAAATGTGGGCATGACTTCGTACCCCCTGTTTGCTTCAGCCCTGTCTCAGGACAGAATATTACAACTTGGAAGAATTCTAGAAAGCAGAGAAAATCCCATAGGCTGACATTTCTTTAAAAAAAATTGACTTTTTAAAGAACTCAAGAATCCAGATTAAAAAGAACATTTCATTTACGTCTGTTATATACCTAAAAGTGAATTTTTATTAAAAGTAGATCACATCACTCCAAGAAATTCAGAGAACTATATCTAAACACACTGAATGCAAGATATTCCTCATCAATTTAGATTCTTATAGCCTTATAAAGATAAAATGCAGATGAATTGATTTAAATCAGGCCTTCATTAAATTTCAGAATTAGCTTTTGGGATCCCATGGATTGAATTGTGCAGCTTCTGATTCCTGATCACTGTGACAAAGCTGTGAGTGCATAATGATAAAGTGCACCGTCGCCAGAAACCACACAGTCTGCCTTTGGTTTGTGCTAATAAACTATAAGACAACTTAAACTCTATCTTAATATAAGAAATCCATCTCATTAGAAGTAATCTCACACTCTGTATGCTATCAGAATTTTCATGTGTATTCTTTGGTGAGCTGGAAATATAATTTTCTATTTATGCTTCTAATGTAAATCTGCCATTTCTGGTTGGCCACTCTGGCGCGAAGCCAAAGTGCTAATTTATTTCCATCTTTCCCTATTTCTTATATCAAAAAGAGGCTGTTGGTTTGAATAACAAACATTCAATCGACTTGGACGTGGGGTGGCAGGCAGAACAGGCATTACCTGCTTACCTTTTATTGCCTTCTTTGAATTGGCTTTTCTGGGAACAAAACCAATAAGACATGCTGTTCCTTCATCTAGTTTTGACTCGGGTTATTTATCAGGAGACATTTCCTCCCCCCTCGGTTCAGCACAGACTGGCAGTAGGGTGAAGAATTCAGCCTGGAACGAGGCTTCTGACCTAATACTGTCATAGGTTACTGTCCCGCCCAGGCACGTAGGACTTCATCGTCCTTAAGCTTCTGGCTCGGCCTCATTATTGTTTCTGATTCTGAGAGATGCTGCCGCTGACACATTCGTCACCTGTGTGGTGGCAGATGCCGGGGTAGAACACACTGTTTCAGCCCCTCCCCAGCTCTGTGGTGTCTCTCTCCCGCCCGGCTCCCTTTGCTGTCTTGTACAGTAATTGGCCTAATAAAAGGCAGAAACAAGAATTTATTACACCTTGGGCAGTACTTGAAACAGACTTTATTCTCAGGAGCAGCAGTTATGTCTACTTGCTGCTGTATATTTTGATATTTCATTTAAATACTTAGAATATAGTCAAAGTCAAATTGCTAATCACTCAATTTCCCTGCTGCTGTCCTGGTTCCCCAGGTGGCCTCTTATGATACTCCATGTAAACACTGTATTTGGAAGGATACATAGATCAGCATCCCTAGAGTCACATGATCACCATAAATCTGTGAAAATAGCATGACTTAAAAATAAAAGTCTCTTAGTATCCGCCAACAGGCTTTGGCATAATCTTGGCAATCACTTAGATACTTCTTTCTGTTCTTGCAGTTATAATTTTTTCCCAGGTGGAAAATAGTCTCATATTTTGCAGACGTTGTCCAAGCTAGTGACCATCAATCCGTCTTCCTGGGCTACTAGAGTCGGTCAGCTGACTGTGTTCCGTCCACACAACATCAGTGAAGCGAGTGTGAAACTGTTGGATGGTTGCTCCTTTCATCTAAGAAACGGCAATACAAATTCCTGATACCATTTATGCGGGAATTTTTATTCTTGAAATCTTCCATGTTAAAGCAACAAGAAAACACTTAGAATGTCCTTTGGTGGAATCTTATTACACTTGCTATATATGTAAACTGATATTCTTTGATGCCAGCACGCTCGTTGCCCATACAGAGAAATCTCTGCACAATGAAACAAAACAAAACCAAGGAGGACACAAATCAAATGTCAGTCTTTGCTGATTCGAATTAGATACATTAACAGATTGTCTGGTAACATAAACTGGCAATAATACAAAAAATCTACATCTTACAGTATTTCAAGAAAAATAACTTCATTTGAATACAAAAGGATAGATACACTTTCTCTTTCCTCTAACCACTCTTGTGAAGTGGGTGTGAGCTGGCACTGGGGGGTCTCAGTGCTCCTAAAATGTACAGGGATATGACTGGCTTGCGCTTTTGGAGGGGGTCTGTTACACATGTGTATCACTAACATCAGACAAAGAAATCTTTCAACCAACAAGGGTTACAGAGCAACTTTCACTAAAGCACAGGTTGGAAGGGATTCAGGGTGGGGTTGGGGGTGGGAGCTGAAGCAGGCCAATATGGCAGCTTGTAACAGATTTCCTTATACCCACAATGCACCTGACAGCAAAGAATGCTTCTATTTGGTTGGTCCACACACTGGGCAGAGCGGTACTAGGGTGCACCACGGTAGAGTAGCGAATGTTTTTTTTTGTTTTGTTTTGTTTTTTTTTTTAGGTTGGTTGATCAGTTTGTTTTTGTCTTTCCTTTCTGGGGGCGCTCTCACAGCCTTCCCAATCCGCAATCGGCTCTGCAGCTGGCAATGAGATTTGCAGTGATAGCAGCCACAGCTGCCAATTCCTCTGGAGTCAGTGATGAACAGTCTTGACTCCGATGTGCTGTCCAGGTCTGAGAGATATGGCTTAGTTCAGTTAGGCCCTCTTCGTTTGTACACTGTGTTGGAGTGGGTGTGCGTGTTTTCTATGTTAGTAGCAATCGCTCGGGTGGAGTTTGCTTCCCCCACAGCACAGGCCTGTTGGAGGGCTGGTGTGACTCCCTAGAACACCAGGGGACTGGCTGTCCCCAGCAGCACAGTCAGCAGCAGCAGTGCGGGGGAGCCCCGCGGGGGTACTCCCTGGCCGGAGTCGGAGCCACAGCTGCCTGCCTCTTCACACCGCAGCTTCTCACAGAGGATGCCAGTGTAGGCGGCCGGGCACAGGCAGCGCACGTTGTTGTGACAGGTCCCTCCATTCTGGCAGTGCAAGAGCTCATTGTCGCAGACATTAGCTGCAGAACGAGGAGGGGAGGGAGGGGGAGGGGAAGAAAAGCAGAATCAATTTAAGTTCATCTGGAACATCATGTTTTCAGCTTTAAAAAAGAAATTCTCTATCGATCTTGTGTTCCCCCCTTCCCTCCACAAACTAAGCATGTGACTCCAATTTCCAAACAAATGTAGTTGGCTGCCTTTGTTTTGATCATATTAGGCCTTTTCATATAGTTTTTTTTTTTCTCCCCCCTGCAACCTTGGTGATTCTTCAGTTCAGGCTATCTAATAGTGAGTAATGCAATGCTCCTGGTTTGGAAATTCTTATGTACCTGGGACCTTTTGTGACCTCCTAGTTTTTAAAGGACAAGTGCCTGATACAAGAATGCAGAACCTTGAAGTCAGAGGAGTGCTCTTTAAAATGCAAAGCAGTGTTGCTAAAATGACCAACAACCTCTAAGGTCAGGACATCCATCGCCCCTGCACCAATTCCAGTCTTTTCGTGCATGCAAAGAGGCCACAGGGAAGCAAGGGAATGCAGGGTTGGGATGTGAAAAAAGTAGCATGCTCCGCAGACGACAGCCAGATGGGGAGAGGGAAAGCTTGTTTCGTGGGAGGCATGTGAGGAAGAGCAGTCACATTCGTCCCTGACAGCCCAGTAGGATTTTTATTGCTTTGTAAATATGGGAAGTAGAGCCCAAGGTTACCTTGATTTGGGAACAGTAATAAATGCAACGGTGAAACCCTGATTACCAAAATTTCATTACATCCATCAAGGAACAGAATCAGGCTGGAAAATCAAGCTGCAGCTCCTGACTAAAATTCATTCGCAGCCTCTGTCACACAACTTTCACCTCTAATAATTTCTCATACCTTCAAAATTCCCGTTATCCTCATTAATTCAATGTCTTGTATTCTCTTAGATAATCAAGGTTTCACTGATTTAGCAGAATGTTAAATAGAACCCAGGGAAATTAACACAACAACGAAGAGTAAGAGAGCCAAGAGCAGAGCGAACGGTTTCCAGCAACATATGCTGCTTAAGCACTTAACACATAGACCACTCTGGACAGAGGGCGGGGCACAGAGCAGAAAAAGGAGGTCTTTGTAAAGGATAGCAGATTTCATTCAAAGAAAATGTCATGGCCCAATTTCTCCAAGGATGTCACATGGATTCACACACACACACACACACACACACACACACACACACACACACACACCACAATGGTGCTATTAAATACAAACCATTTTTACCAAATAATCTCCTCCTTCCAAATAGTAACTCAGTAGATAGCATTTGCTTTGTCCATTAATCATACTCAGTACTCTCATATAGTCTTCAAGAGGGGCTTCGTCCACACACCTAAACATATGAATGCTCTTGTGTATGAATGGGTTGAGGAAAGGTGGCACTGGGCATCCACAGAGCTAATAATAAAGTGCCTAAATAAGGTCCAGTGTGACTACAATCCTCAACATTCCAGGAAGATGTAGAAGACAGGTGCATAATACATTGGTATAAATAGCACTAGTAAATTATTCATGTTTGAAATGCTGATACACGAGGCAGTGTCACATGGATTATAAGCATCAAGCATACAAGTTGCCCCTCAGTGGGTGGCTTAGATGGAACCCACATTGTGGTATTTTGTCAGTCTTTTTTTTTTTTTTTGACGTGTCAAGATCTGTACCTATGAAGCATGGTTCTCAAGCACAGGGTGATTAGCTGCTTGGACAAAACAGATAAAAGTCCTGCTTTTTTTTTTTTTGTCCATTTGGAAAGTATACAAAGGTACTTGGGGTTTCATTTTGCTTACACATCAAGAAATATCTGTTTAATTGGGGCAACATGGAATAAACTGATCCAAGTAACCATTTCCATTTAAAGTTAAAGATTCTGATCATTTCTTGTTCTAGGCAGCAGATTGCAGAATGGGATATTTCCTTTCATTTGGGCACTAGACATAGGGAAATATCTGTTCCATCAATATCGATAATTGCTTGCCTTGAATAATTGAGAAGAAATCAATAGTTAATTAAATATCACTCCCCTCTTTTTTGTGAAGCTATTTTTCTTCCTCTTGGACTTGAATGTAAAGCAGCTGTTGAGCAGAGGCTTTTTTTTGTCTGAGAAGCCAATGATTAAGTTAAAATTCAATACCTTCCCTACATGTAAATAATCTGCTAGTTGTTTTGGATGGTTGTAAGAAATTTAATAAATACACAAGGAACAGATGTAGCCCAGGATTAATCATCTCATGCACTGGGGGAATATATCTTGGGTAATATATAAACAGGGGAAAAAATGGAACCTAGCATACATTTCATTATTTTAGAATTCACTATAAAGCACGTTGCATTTGGGTTCTTGATGGTGCTCATCCTATTAAAATTCAACAAGAACAGGATTTTACTGTGCATACAGTACCATCTCATGGCTGGAATCACATGCTAGAAATATACTTAAATCTAACTACAGTTCTTACCTGATGCTTATAACCTCATGCTCCATCTTCATGTCATTTAGTACCCAAATTCTGTTGGTTAATGAACAAACTAGATGATTAAATATCAATGAGCTCTTCTTCAGCACGAAAAACCTTGTACTAAACACCATGGAGACAATAAAAACAAATACAAAGCAAGGTCTCTGTTCTCATAGAGTTCTAATTTACTTAGGGAGATGAAATACATTTTAGAAGTGACCTAGCATTGATTTCATTAAAACGTCCTTATTAGTTGCATCCACCAAAGTCATTTGCCAGTGCCTAGCATCCTGCCATGTTTTGTGGTTATCACTCTAACTGCCATAAATGAGTTCACAATTCAGTGGAAAGTCAACAAACACAATCAGAGATATAGAAAAAGACCACAAAGTAAGTATTTGCAAAGCTTTAGGTAAACACAAACGACGGTGTCCATGTTTTGGAGATTAGAAAAAAAAATTATAGAAAAGGAGTTGTATTTGAACAAAGACTCACACAAGGCAGATATTGGTCAAAAAACCACCATGGATGGGGAGACTTCTTGAGTTAAAGCAAAGAGAGGCAAAGGGGCCATGTAGGTTATTAAGAAATTATTTTTGAACACTGATTCCCCTTCTGGTTTTACAATAAAAACCCTACAGGTTGTCTGCTAGATTCTACCAACAATGGACCCCAGAGGGAACAGAGAAGGAAGGAGGGTGTGTGTGAAGCTATTTCCATCTTCCTGCTTAAGGGTTTGTTATAACAGTACTCCCCAGCAACGGCTCTTCATCTTAGCTTTGACATTTGGTTCCTGTGCTATCTTTACTCAGAACCAGATTCTCACTGAACCTTGGAGATTTCTGCACCATCCTGTTAGCATCCCTCCAAGGGACTACTACAGGTGTAAGCAGACATCATCTCCCTTCAGAGACATAGTATTAAGGTATATGAAGTCTCTTATCCATACTATTAGTTTCTGGAAAGTCCTCTTCTTTCTTGTACTTTCCCAACCCTGAGTGACAGTTACTACCTGTATGAGCAGTTGCTTTCCAAGAGTTACTTTGGTGCCACGTTCTCATTTTTTTAGTCTTCAAATACTTATTGTCCCATTTCCTTTAATCATGTTTCTCTGTTGGAAATACCTAGAATAGCTTGTTTTCTGACAGTAACTAGACTAAGAGACACAAAGATTATCTCAGTGAATGATGAGTGGGCTGCACTTGGAAGAGGCTGGATGTCTATAGAAGAAAGGAGGTTAGACTACTAGGGGCATTCTGGCTGTTACTAATCTATCTATCTATCTATCTATCTATCTATCTATCTATCTATCTATCTATTATCTATCTATATTGCAGAGTTTGGGAAATGGGCAATGGGAAGCTGTCAAAGGCAAATGAGTCATCTAGAGTTTTGAAGGAAAAAGAAGGATGGAGTTAGACAAAGATAGACTGGTGAAAAGGAGACCAGACACTCAAAAGAATGGGCTTGGGCTAGGATGGAGCAATGGGGAGAAGGCAGTGTGCATTACAAGTATGAGTGATTTTAAGGTCACATTTGAGTATGTGGATAAGTCACAAAGAAATTTATTAAGAAAGGCCACTAAGAAAGGAGTTTAGTTAGAGAAGCCAATGAATATTTTTGAACTTCTTGACTTTGAAGAGTCTGTAAATTCTCCTAAAATATTTTGTTATTACTTGGAAAAAACGACTTGGAGGTTCAGGAGACAGTTCATTGTGGAGATGGAGATGGAGAACATGGGTGGTGAAGGTCATTGTCATCAAACACAAAGTACATGATCTCACGGCGGGAGGATATTAATCATGTCAAAACGAGGAGTGTCAGAGTCTCAGCCATATGCAGAGAAAGCAACACACCTTGAAGAATGGTTGGAAGAAAAACGTCGACAAAACGCAGTGGTCACATGACTATGAGAATAATCATAAAAACACTTTCCTGTTGTGGAAGACCATCTATAAATTAACATGTGAAGTGGAAGAGGAGGAGAAGTAGGGCACTTTGAATTGGGCAGAGCAAATGTGTAACGTATGTCTCAACTGATTAAATCAGTCAGGAAGGGTTTGGGAATGAGTAGAAAAAGCACAGGGAAAATTGGAGGAAATAACTAATTATGGAAGTCCTTGTACATCAGTTAACAGGAGTAGGTCCCAATATTTTGGAGATTGTGACTCCCAGAGGATCTTAGGCAGTGACTAGAGTTTACTTATTTATTTATTTACTTATTTATTTTTTATTGTCACAACTGGGTACAGATAGCATGCCATGGATGGGCAGAGGCCATGGATACTGCTAAATGTCATGTCTTATAATGGCTAGGGCAGCTTCTTCTTCCACCAACAAGGAATTATTCCTCAATTAATGCAAAGGGTAAAATAATGATGTTCTGGGTCAGAGTGCAGTCATATCAATGGAATTAAACAGCTGTCCTTGATGTACACTGGGAAGAAGAGCAGGAAGCGGGTTTGTCAGTTCTAGATCAAAATAACATCGAGTTTTCAGAGCGCAGCCATTAGAAATAAAGAAACTGCAAGCAG